CACTTAGCAGAACCCATTCTGCTAGACTTTGTGTCTGCTAAACCTTTGAGTCCTTTTGTGATAAGCGGCCATGTTTGAGTACATCAAAGACTTCTCACTGTACTCAAACAGAAGAAGGTCTCTGTCGCATCCTGTCGTTATCTTACCACTCGTAGATAATAAACAAAGGTTTTGGAGGTAAATGAATAGGTCACTGTTCTCTTTGTAAACATGGGCAGAGTCATGTGATGGCCAGAGTTTGGAGCATTACATTCCACTCCAAGTTACTGCTACACAATTTAGCTCCATATCTGTAAAATTGATGGAGGTATAACTCTTTTTGTGTTGAATTGGATTAATTTCAAAAGTTAATCAGTTTTAAATGTACAACCAATATCTTTCTGAAAGTTTCACTGCAACCCACTTAGTATTTCAAAAGATATTTTGCTAACAGACTAACAATTTTGACTCTTAAAGTTAATGCTAAACATTTTGAGCAGATGACTCACACAAAAAATAGAATTTAGAGTACATGTTGGGGATAATGCTCAGCTAAAACCACAGTAAATCTGAGCGGAATATCTGTGGAACTGTCTGAGATATAGCCAATAATGTGTTTATTAAGGTGACCTGAACTGGGTGGACTACAGAAGTTAATCAGGTATGGATGTATAACCAACACTTACTTTGCAAAAGTTTCATTAAAAATCATCTCGTGGTTCGTGAGATATTTTACTGGCAGACAAAGTTAACTCCAAAAAGAAAATGTTGTTCAGTCTGTGGTGTGATTGTGGTTGAGAGTCAGTCACATGACACACTCTGACCATAACACATTGCACATTTGATTTATGCTGAAACTGAATAAAAATAGTTGTAATCAACTTTGTCTGTTAGCAAAATATCTCAAGAACAACCGAAGAAATTTTAATGAAACCTTCAGAAAATATTAATTGGATGTACATCTACAACTGATTAGTTTTGGGATTTAGAACAGTTTAAGTTGACAACCACAGCCAGCTGACTTTAGAAAGAGCTGAAATGTTTAGAATTTAGTCAAATTTATAGTTACTGACCTCAGATTTTGTATGTTAGTTGCTGAGACTGACCCCCAACACTACCCTAGGTCAGGGGGCCAAGATTGAACACTGTGTTCAAGCCAAGGGTCAATGTATAATAAATTATTCTTATTGAAGTACAAATGACCTTTTCCAGATTATATTTTGTGTAGCATTTAGAACATGCATATCCTAACAGATAAAATAAAGTTTTGCATTCATTTATTTTGCCTTACTCTCTATCAACATTTTATCACAATCCAGCAAATTAGTTAAAAAAACTCACACTAAAAACCTAATTATTTGACTTTAAAGCAAGAAAAGAATAAAAAAAGCCAATTAAAGTCAATTCTCTGGTGCTCTTTTCCCACCAAATACAAAAATCATTGATAAATTCAAATTTTTTTTTTTTTTTTTTGGCTTGAAAGTTAGCCAGCTGTAATGACAAAAACATGCGAAATACAGTGTCAAAAATGAAAACATGCTTTATTGTTTTACCTTTAAAGTGTTACCTTTGGGCCAAATAAAGTGTTAACAAGGGCCAGATTTGTCCTGTAAGCCTTAACTTTGACACGCGTTGTAGGTGATACAGTAACAGGTTGTGTAAGAACTTTGTTTAACAGTTTGAAGCTACTTTAATTCTACATGGATTTTAAAGATACTTTCAGTCGCTCAATGTTTCTAAATGAGTTTTAGAATCAACTTGTTTCAAAATGGCCGCCACATTCAAGTAACTTTGGAAAATGTGGCATATCAAAAAGAAAAAAAATGTATAGGTCTTCTGGACAGGTTCTTCTCTAATGAAACGTTTAGTCTCTCCTCCAAGAGACTTCTTCAGTCTGAGAGTTTCAGGCAAAATTCAGGCTTTTAAGCACTGCCTCCATGAGACTGATATTCACATCACATGGCTATCGTTGACACCTAATTAACACCTATTGTTAACAGGGGGTGGAGTGTTACTGGCGATAGCAGCACTGTAGGAGGGGTACAATTACGGCAAAGGCTGGTTTACCCCAAAGATCCGGTGCCCCGGCACAAACAGAGCAATGTTGTATATGCTGTTAAGTGCCAGGAGGACTGCGACCAGTTATACATCGGGGAAACAAAGCAGCCACTGTTCAAAAGAATGYCCCAACACAGACGAGCTACATCTAATGGCCAGAACTCTGCAGTTTTCACTCATTTACAGGCCAGCGGTCACTCTTTCAGAGATGAGGATGTTCTCATTCTTGACAGAGAGGAACGTTGGTTTGAGAGAGGAGTAAAAGAAGCCATTTTTGTGAAGAAAGACCGTCCATCATTAAACAGAGGTGGAGGCCTCCGTTTTCAGTTGTCCCCCTCCTACAGCACGGCTATTGCCAGTATCACTCCACCCCTGTTAACAATAGGTGTTAATTAGGTGTCAACGATAGCCATGCGATGTGAGTATCAGTCACATGGAGGCAGGACTCAAAAGCCTGAATTTTGCATGAACCTCTCAGACTGAAGAAGTCTCTTGGAGGAGAGACTAAACGTTTCATTAGAGAAGAACCCGTCCAGAAGACCTATACAATTTTTTTTTCTTTTTGATTTTTTACCTGGATTACTGAGATGCATCAGGACGTAGCATGACTATGATCCAATCAAGATTACAGATAATTTTGAGCATCTGTGGCAGAGTCATTTAAACCACATACTCTCTGGACAAAATCTTCGTTTAAAACTTTAGTATTTACTTTTTGAGTCCACCATCTGTTAGCAAAATATTCTATAAACCACTGGAGAGATTTTTATGAAACTTTTAGGAATCTCTTATTGGATGTCCATCTACAGCTGATTAACTTCATTGGTCAGTCCATTTCAAGATGGCCTGCCACAGCTAATTCAGATCCCCCCAACAAAGTGGCTTTAAATATATCTGTACTCATCTGATTTTAGTTTTAAACTCTGGTAGATTAGGAAAAGAAACATGATATTTTATGATATGCTAAACTACAACACATTTCAGTCTAAAACCATCACTTTTGTACTATTGCTGATCTCTTCATTATGTCCATTAGTTTTATGTTAAAGAAACATCAGTTATATAAAAGAAAAAAAAATGAGAAAAAAAAACCAAACAAACTTAAAATTGTTTAAAAGTTGCAGTAAACCATACTAAAATGTCTAACTCTTATAAGATAAAAGAACTCTCATTAAATACAGGAAAAAGACAAACAGACATACTACATGATTTAAACAGACTGTAATAAGTTGGTGAATGACAAAACTCTAAGCAAAAAAAAACTTATAAAAATTAGTGGGTTTCAAAACAAAGAAACAGAAACATTCATGTCAACCAGACTATATTATGTATATCAACTATAAAAAATTGTGATAAGTGGTTAAAAACCTTTGATTCCTCTTTATGAGAAATAACCAACTTGAAAACAGAGTCACGAGGAGTCAAGTCACTGATTTCCGCCTTCTTTTATTCTCAAAACGCTATTGGTTGTTAGAGCCGGACGTCTCGCGTATAATTGGTTGTTGTTTGCAGTGGGCGGGACAACTTCCAGGAAGTGAAAATGTTTACGTTTGTTTCTGACGCACCGGTCCGGGCTGCCGTGCCTTCAGTAATGTTAATGTGTTTGTAAAGAAAACGTTTGTGTGTTTTCGGCTTTTTCAACTTTCGAAGATCTTTACAAACCTGACTGGCTCAAGTTTTCTGCCTGTTGTTTTTCATTCTTCGTTCAGGTGAGGTCCGACGAGTTTAATTCATAATGTCTCAGTTGAGCTGGTGTCTGTGGACTTTTCTCAGTGTTTAATTTTAATTGAACACTTACTGTCACTGTATCAACCAGTTATTTATGGTTTTTTATTCAGCTAAGTTATTGTAACGAGTTGTTTACCTTTTGTAATCACTGCACTGGTCTGCCCTGAGGCTGTATCTGACTGTCAGGAACTTGGATTAAGATGGATTAAGACCCCAGATTTTCTTCTGTGCAGCTGAGTGAAGCGGACTCTGAGGAAAATTCTGGATTCATGTGCTTTCAGTTTTGTTTCTGACTACAGTTACTTCCTCTGTCACTGAAATATTATCTGTCCTTTGTCTTGCAACATCTTTCATAGTGTAAAACAGAGGTGTTCAATTTAAATTACCTGCTGAGGATGTCATCACGTTTAGCAGAAGCCTGTCAATCACTCATTCATTTCAGCCAGCTGTGTTAAAGCAGTAAATGTATATTATGTAAAATCTACATGATGCATTTGTTTCTGCTCAGCTTTCTCCACCACAATATGTGGCATGTTGTGTACTTGGAGTGTTTAGGAGTGCAGAGTTGAATGAAGTTGAATGTAGTCTTTCTTGTATATATATTTTAAAATCTTTTTTATTTTTATTTTTAAACCCATCCAGTTTGCTCTGTTTTCTATGATATTTTCTGAACCATGACATGAAAGTATTTTCAACAGAACTTCTAAACAAGGTCTGGACTTGCCAACTACAGTTTGGTGGTCTTCACTCTCCTCTGACTCCGGGTCAGACTCTGGCTCCAACGTGTAAAGGGCTCGACACACGGGGAGCGACAAACTACAGCGATTAGCGGCTGTCATCGCAGCCAGGGTGAAAACCCGACACACGGGACGCGATAGCGATCGCA